TGGGGGGCGGGGCCTATGAAGTGCCTCCTGTCCACATTTATTTGCTTTGTGACTTCGTTGGTTAATACCACACTGAAACATGAGTCCTAGGGCTCCTGAATTGCCTGCACTTTCTAAAAGCATAAGCCTGGAATTCTGGGCAGTGGGTGGAGAGTCTTGTCATTTCTTCCTGAAAATCTCAGAAGTCCCTGGCTAAAGAGGGGGGCCTCTGAAGTTTAAGTCTTAGAGAGCATATGAGATTTCAGCTCCCATCCTTCCCTATAGAGGGAAGGCGGATGCTGGATAATGCATTAACCACATTACCCAGTGTTCCTTTCTGCTGGTAAAGGATGTACATGCATGTTAGAATAAGAGTCAGACTCTTTGAGCCTTTCCCCCCAAGGTTAACACAGACACAGAGCCTTTAGGAACAAACAGTTTGTAGTAGCTGAACATCATAGTGCTAGGTAGCAGCAAAACTCTGCTTCTCTTGGAGGTGGCTGGCGTAGACTGCCTGGCAGACAGCACGGAGCCCAGTATTACAAGCCTCACGTGATAGGCCAGCTCCTGATAGCCACAGTCCATTGCTCAGACCCACTTATGCTGCCTGGAAGCAAATAGCCTTGGCCCTCACTTCTCTCCCAGACCATCCTTCCATGGACATGAGGAAGAGGAAGCATTCATGTTCTGATGTCCTTACTTCTTCCTCCACTCTGCCAGTGCTTAGAAAACTCCCTGTGCCTCACTGAAACTCCTACAAATCATTCTCTTTGGACATGTTTGTTGAAAGCCAGTTGATCATATATGAATTGCCCCAGCATAGGCAGGCAGGCCAGGTTTTGGAGAGCTAGCACAGAAAAGCCTCTGTCAACATGTACAAAGCTGTGACTCCCTTCTGGGATGGCCTGTGCTGGACTGTTCTCAGCATAAGGTTTTCTCTCGTGCGTTTTCTTGGCATTGGTTATATACCCTCTCGTGCCAATGCTTCTCAGGGGTGGAAGCTGCCTTTCCATGCCTCTGCCACACTGACAGCACACAGGGTTTCCTGGCTCAGGATTGCCAGAGTCCCTACAGAAAGACCCTGGTCACATCAGGTAAACTCCATGTCTTTCTATTGGATAGCTCCCAGCCCTAGATATTGCTCTTACAAACTGCATTTTCCATTGTGGCCATTCCCCAGTGGATCTGACCATGACAGGCCTTTATGAAGTACCTGAACAGAAAATATGTTTTAGAAAAGACCACTATAGATTCCTCTTTACAATCAGCAGAGACTCGAAGCACATTGATGCACAGCCTTTTGTAAATCAGGAACCTCTGGGCCACGTGGCAGTGTGTGCTGTAAAAGAGTGGATAAAGTAGGGATGTTCAGAAGACTAATTAGGGAAGAGAGCTCCGGTCATACACAGAACACAGCGAGCCGCCAGGAGACAAATGCAAACCCTGGGCGGAAGTCTCAGTGATAACCTCAGGATTTGAGTATCACCAGTGCATGATGGTGGGCTGGAATCCGAAGTCTCAGGTTTTCCCTCCACATGATCACAGGTCTTTTGAGCTTCCAGGACCACAATCGCTTTCCCTCTACTATGGCAGCTACAGCTATAGCATTTCTCCCTAATCCATGAGGAATAGACGGTACAGATTGAATAATAGTCTTGATTTTTTTTTTTTTTTTGATGAGAGCAGAAGCATAGCCATCAAGCTCCCAGCCCTGGCATGACTATTTCAAGGTCATAAAAAAAGACATGGCCCTAGCCTGAAACAAGTATAGACTACATTGAAGCTACAAGTTATGTGCCCATGAAACAAACACAAAAAGACTATGCCATTGGTTGTGATGGAGGCCGCAGACATTGTTTGCAAGAATCGTGTTTCCTCTGAAAAGCATATCTAAAACTCTCATTTTAGGTTCAGGACTGACATTTCTCAAAAGAATGAGCTCCCTTTCATGAGGCGACTCCGAGAGTACTGGGGGAGGGGAGGCAGCTAGTGCGGGGAACCCACTCTGTACACCTGGCAGAGCCTGGGAACGGTGCAGCCATGGGGTACCACTTAGCCTTTCTGAGCCTCATCTACAAATTAGAGATAGCATTCCTTATCTGTAAAGATTAAATTGAGTGATATATGCAAAGCGGGAGGCATATTGTAGATGCTCTAGCAATGATAAATGATTCCAAGATGATGGCTCTTGAATGCCAGTCTGGGAATTTGGATTTTGTCTAAGAGGCAATAGGAGGTTATTGTAGACCCTTGAGAAAGGGAATGTGATTTAGTGATGTGTTGAAAATGATACTTCAGACTGATTCATTCAGCTGTGAAGTACAAGAAAAAAAAAATGACCCTAGAGTACATCTGGCAGTGGGCCCATCCTAAGTGTATGAAATTCTACAATTCACCATTAATGGTCCCACTCTGAAGTTCCAGTGTGGCTCTCCTCACATGCAGCTGTGTTTAGGCTGCAAACAGACTTCTGTATTGTCTCACACAAGAGCTATGGAAGCCTAGGGTGGAGGAGGACCTAGTATCAAACACAGCGACAAGTAAGTAGCATGAGTTCTGTGCTCTGTCTAGTGATTGAGCCCTCTCTGCTACACAAATTTGTTCTTCAAGGCCCTTCTGCTTCCACATACCACTTCCTTAGGGACACGGAAGCATGACACAAAACATTTAGGGGAGACAAACTTGGAATCCATGAATGTTTGTATCAAATTACCTTTCAGGGGGCTGTAGCTGCAGCTCATTTAGAAGACTACTTGCCTAGCTAGCATACATGAGGCACTTTGTTCAATCCCTGAGGCTGTATAAACCTAGAGTGGTAGTTCACACTTGTAATCCCAGCCCTTGGGAGGTAGAAGAAAGGGAGTCAGAAGTTCAAGACCATTCAAGACTGCTTACTAAATTCAAGGCCATTCAAGACTGCCTACTAAGTTCAAGGCCATTCAAGGCTACTTACTAAGTTCAAGGCCAACCAGATCTGTCTGAGAAACAAAAAAAAAGCCTTCAGATGCTCTTCTGAAGGTGCAGGAACCCCCCTGGAAAGAAGCTGCTGGGTGTCCCTTATCTTCCCGCTTGCCGCTATTGTGATCTAAGCCAGGCATCATCCTACAGGCTTCTCTTCCTCCCTTTCTCTCAAGAAGCCACACACACACACACCAAAAAGAAAAAAAAAAAGCAGAAAATCACATGTAACTCAGAGGGAGCAAGAAGATAACAGCTTAGTAACCCCAATCCAAATGCTCTAAAATCTACAACCTACTGAATGCTGCAATGAGGCCACAGGTGGAAAACTCCACGTCAGAACACTTTGTTCCACGTACAAAGCTACTTTTAAAACTGTACAAAATCTCTGTCAAGGGGATGAGATATAGCTCTGTAAGTAAAGTGTTTGCTGCACAAGGGTGAGGAACTGAGAACCCTATAAAGCCAGGCATGGTCACCTGTCTGTAATCCTAGGCCTTCTGTAGAGAGATGGGAAGCAAACACAGGAAAATCCATGGAAGCAAGCTGCTGAGCCAGCTAGCCATGGGTGGCAACAAACAACAGAGGCCCTGCCTCCAAGATAGAAGATGAGTACTGACACCTGAGGTTATCTCTGACCTTTACCTGCATGCTGTGGTGTGTACTGAAGCACACTTATGCATGTATATACATCACTCATACACACACACACACACACACACACACACACACACACACACACACCATCAGATATGTATGAAGTTTAATGCTTTTTACATTTAGACTTGGGTTCCATCTCTAAGTGATCTCATAATTATATACAAATAGTCCAAAATCCAAAAATAACATAAAACTCGTAAAAGTCTTGGCCCCAAGCATTTGTAATTAGGGAAACTCGGCTGATCTCATCTGTTAAGAGCCACCAGCACAGCTGTGATTGGTAGACCCCATACTAGATGGCCAGTTCCTGCTGGCTCCACCCCCTGATGTTATCAGAGGCTCTCATCTCTCTGGCTCTGTGTGTGTGTGTGTGTGTGTGTGTGTGTGTGTGTGTGTGTATGTGTGTTTGCCCTCCCCTCCTGCAAACCTGTCTAGCAACCTAGTGTGTCCAACACAGCCCTCTCCTGGCCTTCTGAGTGTATGTAACTACACTCAGAACCCCAAGCTTTGCTCTCAAGATGCACCTCATTGTTGAAAAATAAATCATGATATGCCAAGGAGGATCTTAGAATTTCTTATGTTACAAACTTTTTTTTTTTCTCACATAAAATAACCTGACTGATTCTGCCTCTAGGTTCATGACTGACAAGTTTGAAATACAAAGCTAAGAGCCTGGAAGTGGAGATCAGGGTGTCGTTTGCCTACCATGTGCAAGACCCAGCATATCGTCACAATGATAGATAAGTGATAGGTGTGAAGGAGATAGATGATAGATGATGGATGGATAGATAGATAGATAGATAGATAGATAGATAGATAGATAGATAGATAGAAGAGATAAATGATGAGTAGGTTAGGTAGATGGTAAATGATAGACCTGACTCAGATAGACACTCTTGTTCTAAGCCAGGAGTTCTCAACTAGCAGGACCATGGCAGAGGAAATGGCAGCAGCAGGCTGAGGGTGGACTCAGTCAGGCTGATGAGCCAGACCGGGCATGCCGGGTCCATTTGAAAATGGTGTCCTCTGCTGCCAATGCGCCACCCTCCCAATGATGCTGCTTTTGTCATTAAGCACCCGTGGCCTACTTGTCTTCTCCATATAAGTTATCTGCTAATGGGGAGGTGGTTCTAGGTTCACAGATTTTCCTGAAGGTGACAAGTCAAAAGAAAAAACGTTTTAATGCTCAGGGCCACCCAGTTATTATTTCCAAGTTAAGTTCACAGAATCTCAAATTTAGGTGTATATGTACAAATATATATGAAATGATATATCTGCACTCCCTGAGCCGAGACACACAGGGCCTAGGCCCTATCCCAAAGGATACGATAGACTCTGATGACACCCTATGGAAGGCCTCACCCTCCAGGGGGAGCAGAAAGGATTTGTGATAGGTAGGGTTTTAGTTAGGGAGAGGGGTGGTAGGGGAGGAGGGGAGGGAGAGGTAACTGGGATTGACATGTAAAACAATCTTGTTTCTAATTCAAATAAAAAACAATCTGAAAAAAAAAGAAAGAAATGATACATCTGTATAATACCTAGGAGTAAGCTGGAGAGGTGCATGCTGTCCCATTGTTTTATTAAGTAGACTTAAAACTGCTTCATGGATACCACGGTACCAGGGGCCAGCTGGGCACCCTCTGTACCAGCAGAGGGCTGCCACATATACCTGGGCTTCCATTTACCGTTTGTTGCCAGACCTTTCAATTTTCTTTTGCTTAGCAGAGAATGTCAAGATCAAAACAGCCAGGGCCCCTTTTAAGTGAGCCTGTTGTAAACGCTGTTTTGTTTGTCCTGGGTTTTCTGTTTTCAGGCCGAACCTGCATCCTCTAACAAGTGGCAGCTGGATAAATGGCTAAACAAAGTTAATCCTCACAAGCCACCTATTCTGATCCAAAATGAAAGTCATGGCCCCGAAAGGAATCAATACTACACACCGGTGAAAGATGAAGGGCAGGACTGCGGGAAACTTCCTGAGATCTGCCAAGCCAGCCTGAGAGACAAGGACCTCAAGACTGCCTGCAAGGAGGAGCAGCGGCCGAGGACCGCAAACAAGGCCCCTGGCAGCAAAAGTGTAAAGCAAAAGTCCCCACCTGCCGCCGCCGCAGTGGCTGTGACCTCAGCTGCCCCGCCACCTGCTGTGCCCAGCGCACCCACGGAGAGCGCACCCGCGCCCACCCGGAGGTCAGCAGGCAAGAAGCCCACCCGGCGCACCGAGAGACTCTCAGCTGGGGACAGTGCCAACTGCCACCGGCCAGAGGAGCCTGTGGCCCAAGATGCGCTGGGGGCGAGTGTGGTGGGACCCCCAGAGCCCCCCAAAACCAGACCCTGCGGTAACAGCAGGACAGGCCACCGCAAGGAGCTACGCTCCTCCGTGACCTGTGAGAAAAGGCGCACAAGGGGGCTCAGCAGAATTGCTCCTAAATCCAAGGAATTTATTGAGACAGAATCCTCATCTTCGTCTTCCTCCTCGGACTCAGACCTGGAGTCAGAGCAAGAGGAGTACGTCCTATCCAAGACTCAGACCACCACTACAAACGAGCAGCGTCTGAAGGAGACCGCCAGTAGCAACAGCAGCACCTCCCGGGCCCCTGTGGGGTCCATCAATGCTAGGACCACCAGTGACATTGCCAAGGAGCTAGAGGAACAGTTTTACACGCTGGTTCCCTTTGGCCGGAATGAACTGCTTTCTCCACTAAAGGACAGTGATGAGGTCAGGTCTCTCTGGGTCAAAATTGACCTGACCCTCCTGTCCCGGATCCCAGAACACCTGTCCCAAGAGCCTGGGGTCTTGAGCGCTCCTGCAGCCAAGGACACTGATAGTGCCCCAGCCAGCCATGCATTAGACACAACTGCTGAAAAGACTTTGCCAAAATCCAAGAGGAAACGCAAGGTAGGTCTAGAGTTGGGAGGCCTTGGGAGGAGCAGTCTATCTCTCTTTGTATTTGAGGGCAAGGTGTAGACCACAGATAAGCTGCTGGTCTGGGCTGCAGGCGGCTCCCCTTGTGTATCCTCCAGCAATGGCATAAGTAATTGACATACCTATATAATGGTGTATGGGAGTACTGCCACTATATCCATATGGTTGTGGATACTTAAAGCACTGCCCCTGGCCTGAAGAAATGCTAATACAGGCAACGTTTACTGAGTGTGCAGATACTCAGGCTGAACGTCAGGCACAGGGAAGACGGAACATATGGTGAACCCCATTCTTTGCTGAGATGGACCGGGTAATGTTGCTAGTGGGCCATTCATCCACTAAAAGGCCTCATGGAGTTTAAGACTAAAGTGGAAGATGAAATCCAGTGTCCCTGAGGTCATTAGCCAATGGCATCAGAGCTAGTAGTTGTTGCTTCCAGTAGTGATAAGGAAGTGCTTCATGGTAGAAGAGGTCTGGGAGCTTCATGGTAGAAGAGGTCTGGGACTCAGATGCGAGAAGGATGTTTGTAAGCACAACGGTCTTTGGGTGGAGTGGCACTTGAGGAATGAATAGGCTGGATAGGTGAGGCCTGGATTGACAGACGCAGCTTTAGAATGGGAGAGCCCGGGCAGCCTCTGAGTGACTCAAGGATACAGCCAGTTTTGAAGGTTTCCAAATTGGGAAATTCTTCCTTCCTCAAACCAAATTTGAGGATATTAACAATTACTTCCATGGCTGTGTCTTCAAACTAGTTTGGAGGGAGATAGCCTCATTGGTAAAGTTCTTGCTGAGCAAACAAGAGGACCTGAGTTTGATTCCCCAGAGCTTCTGTACAAAGCTGGGCAGGGAGGTGCATGGTTACAATCCCAGTGTGGACAGGTGGAGACAGGCAGACCCCTGGGACATTCTCCAGTCATCTAGTTCCCAGTGAAAGATCGTGTTTCCTAAAACAAGGCAGACAGCACCTGAAATGAGGCTCTGATCTCCATGTGCATGTGCACGTACATACACACACACACACACACACACACACACACACACGCACACACACACGCACACGCACATACACACACACACACACACACACACAAAATGAGGTGACTTGGAAGTAATGTTTATTAGGCAGTTTTCCTGGCCAAAATGAAGATATTCCTCATTTTGGAAGGGTATATATCAAAGACATAGTCTCTTTCTGGTGACAGTGAACTTCATTACCAGCAAGGAAATTTATTATACAGACACAGAATGTGTTTCTTCATGTGGTAACACTGAACTGCTTATTTCTACAAAATAGAATTTGAACCTTGGAAAAGAAGGACCACCTAAAGACAGCAACTTCCCTTGTTCTTGACACATATACAAAGGCCTTTTTTCAGTGTTTTATATTTGTGTGTGTGCGCATGCATATGCCACAGTGCACAGGGGATAAACTTGTGACAGTTTTCTTCCTCCACCATATGGGTCCTAGGAATTGAACTTGGGTCATCAGGTTTGGCAGCAAGTGCCTTTCCCTTGCAGAGCCAATTGTACCAATTGCCTGTATGCCAAGAACAAGGGAAGTAGCTTCTCATTCAGTAGAGAACATTGCAACCCCCATGTCACCCATTCTCCATGGGAGGGCTGGAAGGGGCAGATAACTACTCAGACTCCCTATACAGACTGACACAGCTGAGTTTCACCCTGCTAAAGCCCCATAACTGAGATCCAAGGACTTAAAGTTTGCTTTGGACTCTTTAAGCGGCCACTGTAACAACATGAGCTTCTAGGACCCACCCCCTTTGCAAAGGCTGGGATTGACACAATCCCAGCTAAAAAGAGTCAAGTTCTCTGCTTGATTTTTTTTCTCCCAGAAAACACCCCATTCAGCCCTGATGAGACAGCTCTTGTTGTCTCCCCAGGAGTAGCACTTTGGGGAGTTTATTACCACTGTAGCCTGATGCTGTAGAGTCAAACACATTTGTACAACAAGAAGCCAATCCAAGTCCTATCTTCTCAAGAGGAACTTGAAGATGTTTTGGGCTGGAAATTGCAAGCTAGAAGTAAAGCACATCAGGCAACAGCCTCTGCTTCCCGTTCACTAAAGGTATTTCTTTCAAAGAGGCAAAGCTGGGGTTTCTCACTATTGTTACTCCAAAGAGCTGGGACAAAGCACACTTGGCATGCTTTATTCTGATACCAAAATGCAGGATGAGTGATCGTGATACTGCAGGCTAATTCAGACCAGATCAGCTTTGCAGAGCTGAACACTCAGCAGCTTTCATCATCCAGTTGTGATCACGACATGATGTCTCTCCCTTTACTGGGCCATCCACACTAAACTCAGCACATGTCCTCCTTGTTCACTGAGTGCTGTGGAACCTATGCCAGGGGCGTTCCTATTCTCTCAGTCTCTAGAGGAGGTAGGTAAGGACACGTCCCAAGAGGCCTTGCTGTGTGACAGGCAGTGCCCTGCAGCTCACTGGCACCCCTCAGAGTCCAAAGTTGATTGGCTTCTGCTTATTACCACCCAGTGTGACAATGAAGACGACTATAGGGAGATAAAGAAGGCCCAAGGAGAGAAGGAGAGTGCTTCACGCCTGGCTGCCTCCACTAATAACACCTTGTCCGGGAGCCACTGCAACATGAACATCAACAGGTAAGCCTGGTCCCCGAAGGCAGAGGTGAGTTGGGGGGTCACTAGATCTGAGAGTCACATGCTGTGTTGAGGAAATGGAAGATCCTTTTGATTGTTCTAATCTGAGTCTGCAAGCTTACTTCCCTCAAATTAACCGAAAGCTTATAATTATGTCTAAGGTGAGCCTCATGCTCTGTTTCCAATAGCTGTATCAGGCCCTTACCTGTAACCAGAGACCAGTGACTGGGAACACACTGCTCTGAGCTCTGTACCCCCCAAGGATGGTCTATCCCCCCCAAAACTTGATACCAGGCTAATGTTTTAATAATAGCTGCAAAGCACATAAGAACCCGAAATGACACCTAAGCTCTTGGGTGTAGACAGGCTGTGGACTTAAAAAGGATCTGCTCTTCCAAGGTCAAACTGCCACCCAATGACTCTAAAGTATCAGCACCGGGCCACCACACACTGCCTCACTCTGTGATAAATGGTCCTCCAGCAAGGCAAGGTCCCAGGCATTCATTAAAGCAAGTAGCTTAGCATCAGTCATAGAGGCTTTTCCATTTAGAAGCACCTCAGCACAGACCCCGCTTCCCCTCTACTGAGACACTTCTCACTCTCCCTGACTATACACAGAGGGTTTTTAAAGGGAGATTAATGGTTCTGCACAGCACATAAAAATGTAAACTGAAAGGTTGCGGAAAGATGTAGAGCAGTGCTGAAACTCAAAAAGGCAACTGGAGAGCAGAGGCACACAGGTCCAGGGTGCTCTGGGGATCACCTTGAGGATGCTGCTGAAACCCTGCACAGGGGGAGCGGATACTCGGGGCTTCCACAGTCTTCTGTACATTCCCAAGGACTAGGGAAATGGCAACGAGGGGACCTCACCCCCCAAAAAATATTTCTCTTTAATGTATAATGTGGTTTCTGTGCATTTGTCGGTACATTAAATAACCCTCCTATCTAGCGGAAGTCATAACTGCTGCATAGCAATGAACACAAATGATATTTCAAGGTGTCTGAAACAACTGTAGTATGACAAGAAAAGACCCATGGTTTCTGCTAAGATGACTCCGGCTTAACTGTTCTTCTGATCCTTGCCCTTGCTTGTAACTGGAAGAAATGAGAAAGGGTGACAATAAAGATAGAACTTTTTTGCCATCCGGATTCATGAACCTCAAATTAAAAATCTCCTGCTCTCATGACTGTCTGGCAGGGCCTCCCAGATCTGATTGTTTTGTTGGCACTAAGTAATGACAGGATGTGAATGAGAGTGTGTAGAGTTCTTTCTGGGGAAGGTGATCTGTGAACCTCTGAAATTGGGATTCTACTGCCAGTTTTACCACTGCAGAACACAGAGCTGACCATCCAGCTAGGAGGCTTTGCATAGAATGCTTGTTTGGTCCACTTGAATATGTAAACTTGCAACAATGAAGAAGCAACAGTCATATATACCCATGATTATGTTTAATATCATAATTTGTTTTTCATCACACATGAAGAATGTAAAATAATAGATACTTAGAAGCAGGTCTTTTTTTTTTTTCACTCAGATGTCAAGAAATGATTGTTTCCAGGCTTTTCACACTCATCCTTGACAACAGCATCCGTCCCTTCAGTAGACACATCTTGGGTTCATCCAGAGCAGTTGTCTGTAACATGTCACTCAGGACTTTTGGAACCAGAAGTCCTGGCTCCACGTGTATCTATTTGCATGATGAAAAAAAAAAAAAAA